AAGTTTCAAAATCTCCCCTCCCCCCACCGCATCCCAAAACCAGTCCAACTCGTCCCTGCCTCCCTAACCTGTTCTTCCTCCCACCTATCCCCTCCTCCCACCCCAAGCCGCACCTCCATCTCCTACCGACCAACCTCATCCCGCCCCCTTGACCTGTCCGTCCTCCCTGGACTGACCTATCCCCTTCCTAACTCCCTACCTACACTCACCTTTCCTGGCCCCATCCCCGCCTCTTCGACCTGTTTGTTTCCTCTCCACCTATCCTCTCCTCTATCCCTCTTCTATCCGCCTCCCACTCTCTCCCTATTTATTTCAAAACCCCCTTCCCCTCCCCCTTTTCTGATGAAGGGTCTAGGCCCGAAACGTCAGCCTCTCTGCTCCTATGATGCTGCTTGGCCTGCTGTGTTCATCCAGCCCTGCACCTTGTTGTCTCGGATTCTCCAGCATCTGCAGTTCCTACTATCTCTGAATTGAAGTTGCTTCAGTTAGTCACATACATTCTGGGCAGCATGGTGGTGCAGTAATCAGCACTGTGAGGGACACAGGTTCAATTCCAGCAACTGTCTGTGTGGAATTTGCACATTCTGACCTTGTCTGTGTGGATTTCCGCTAGGTGTTCTGGTTTCCTCCCACAGTCCAAAGATGTGCAGACTAGGTGGGTTAGCCATGGGAAATGCAGGGTTACAGTGATAAATTAGGGGGCTGGGTCTGGCCAGGATGCTGTTCAGCGAGTTGGTGTGGACTCGATGGGCCGAGTGGCCTGCTTTCACACTGTAGGGATTCTATGATTTTCACCCGTGCTGCTAAATGAAGTTGATGGTCAGGAAAATCGAGAATAAAGATTTCTGTAATATAACAGTTAGCCAGGTGATTGATTTTTGGGATCCTACATTAATTTTGGAAAGTCACATTTACATTTACTGGAATAATTCAAACAAACAATACCATATGGAAACGGAACGACATAGATACATTATGTTATAGTCACAGTACCACATATAGACACAATACTTTGTAGACATAGTATCATATAGAGACAGGACTTTTTTGACACATGACACCGTAAAGGTCCATAATTCATTGCTCAATGTTCATAATTCTATCAAATAATCCTGTGGCCCAAATGCATTGTTTACATAATCTTTTTCATTACTTGGTTGGGCCATACAAATGTCAGTATCAGTCACATTCAATCTAGTAAATTAGATTTAAGCAATTATGAGGTACATAATTTATTAAAATGGCAAGAAAATGTTGATGAGCTTGTTCTGGCATCCGCAAGGTGTTAAAATCCCTTTAAAATAATTAAATAATTTGTTTTGAGAAACGTTTTCTTGGCTGCCTTGAATTTACAAATGAAACCTCACAGATGCTGATTATTTTTAGAGCTGGTTCATTTAATTGATGCAGCCTAATTAATCTCACCTCTGCTAACTAAGGATTTGTGACCAATCTGGAGAACAGATACTAATCAGAATGTTTCACTGGAGTAATTAGAAATCAGCGGAGCACCAAATGTTGGTGGAGGAAGGAATGAGTTAAATGGTAATGCGAGTATAAATAATGCTTTTTGTTATGCAACATTTCAGCAATTGCTGCATGAATAGCACTTGTTCCCGGAGTCATAGTGCCCGAGTCTAAATCTCATTGTTTATTCATGCATCTTTTATTCATTATTTCCACAGTACTTCAAAAAGCAAAAGAGGCTAATCCCAGAAAGAACGATATGGAAATATTTTGTGCAGCTATGCAGCGCAGTTGAACACATGCACTCCCGAAGGGTGATGCACAGAGGTAAAAAAAGACAAAAAAAGCATTCCTTTCCATTGAAAACTAGAGTTCAGTTTTGTAGGAGCACAGGATAAGTTAGGAAAAGCTGTTTGCGACTCTGCTTTATTGATCATGCGGGACGTGTGTGTATGTGTGTCTGTCTGTGTGTATGTGGGGAGTGGGTAGCTGCAGGCTACAGGTCCTCAGGGAATGTCCCATGTTATAGACACTTCTGTTTCCAACCATAATGACTGAAGACACCATGCACATTTGATTAGCTTGGTATCTGGTCACAGAGGGCTTAGTGGGGAAAGTCAGGGCATCATTTAATTCTGGGTTGTTTATTCAGTGATGTACAGTGACTGACTACAGAATCAATATGCTTCCCCGTTCTACATTGCCTGAATTTAAAGAGGAATTCAAGCCTGATTAAAACTCTCAGGGAACACTAACTTTTTTTTTAACTGTATAAACTATGATCACCCTTTGTGCTTATGTGAGTAACAGTGCAGGTGTCAGTCTTCAACTCCCTCAGCTTAGACAAGCTGGAAGTTGCCATTTCAGTCTCCCCCAGGGAAAATCCCCTTTACGAACAATGTGCAACAAAATTATAAAGGGCTTTGACAGAGATCACATTTACAGTTTTATGCATATCTACTTGTGGTGAATGATCAGATACTCATCAAGTTCCACCCGCCACTAATTACTCTGAAGATTTGGTTCTATTAAAGGAATTTCCTGCCATCGGGTACTTTGCTGTGTTTGAAGAGCAAGCTGACAATTACATTTAATTTTCAAATCTTTTTAGAAGACTTAACTGTAAAACCATTACATACTGCGTAGCCCCTCAGTCTAATTAAGACTGTATTTTAAAAGTAATGGATTTCCCGTTAACTGTCTTGCCAAGCCGAACAACTGACTTATTGCTCTTTCAGCAATCCAATGCATGGAAATAGCTTGATGTTAAAAACATCGACAATCATGACTTCAAAATCTCTTCATGTTGTGTTCTTCTGGCCCAATGTTAACTATGCGACCGCCTGAATTGGTAGGTGCACAGCACAAGTTGGGACTCAGCAAATTCAATCAGGAAAGACCCATGTTTGATCTGTGTTCTTGCTGAGTTGGTTGAACTGGTGCCAACATCCTGAGCCCTTGGAGGGGAAAGAAATCAGCCATGGTTCCTATTCTTTATTGCTATCCGGTGGCCCCAGTGGAAAATGAACCAAGCTCAACATGCAGGTATTTTATCCACACAAACATGTCCTAAGATGCAATCCAGAAGCCAGTGCAGGTTCCGGTTTGTTTTGAGAGTTCTGCATTCTCCGTTGCCTGACTCCTACTTAGACCATTGTACTCTGTTTTTGCTCTGGGGTTATTATTATGTGTAATATTCTTCTGTCAGGATGAAGAAGACTCTCAGTCAGTGACTCATGATGCCCTTTCTGTGTTCAAATCCTGAAATATATCATGACAACTGAAATGCCTGTAAATGGACTTGGAGACCAATTTTCATCCTCTTGAATATTTCTGACATTTTCAGTTGCTTACTATCAATTTATCGCATTCTATATACCAGGTGGAAGAACAATGAACAATTTAAGAAATGCCCTCTTATTTTGAAAAGGGCTACTAGTTTCCCACCTTCAAATTGCAAAAGTAGCCTAGAGCAGTTAATGCATAAATTCTGTTCTAACAGTTGGACTGAGGTTTGGCTTTTTTTACACATTGAATGAAGATGATCATGCTCCAAGCTATGGCTCCATCGCAACAGATTTGTTTACAGAATATCCAGAAGTGGTGCCTTCTCACTTAGAGGAATGGATCTGTGAAACCAACTGACTCATATGACTGAAAGTGACTGGAAGAAGGGTTATTACATGATTCAGAATGCAATTCAAAACTTGTTAACAGCAATTTAGCAAAATGGGTGAATGATAAAGGCCCTGTGAGTCAAAATCCTGGAATTCACTTGTGAACTGATTGCAGTGGCTCAAGAAGGCAACTCACCACCACCTTCTCAGGGGCAACCAGAGATGGGCAACAAATGCTGGCTCAGCCAGCGATGCCCATGTCCTTTGAATGAATATAAAGAAAATACAATATTGTAGATATTATGTAACTCAGTCTGTTGGTAGTTTTCTTTATACATCACAATCAGAGTCATGGAAATTTCAACCTATTCTGAGCTTGCGACTAGGGGATGAAAATTATATTATTTATGATATTTATGAAGTGATACAAAGTAACTGTCAAAAATAAACCTTTTGATAATATACAGACCGTAAACAAATGTCAGTATAACACAATCACCATGAAGACTTCACGACTTTCTCTTTTAAACCACTCATTCATTATTGATTGACTCTCTGTTTTCATTCTTAGACATCAAGCCAGCAAATGTGTTCATAACTGCAACAGGAGCAGTCAAGCTGGGGGACCTAGGGCTGGGACGATTTTTCAGCTCCAAAACCACAGCAGCACACTCTTTAGGTAAGAAGCAATTGTAGAAAACTGTATCTTTTTTATTTTAATCAAACAATTATTGGCCCCAATGTTTATATACACGAGGGATCTCTGATTGCATTGCTCATGTACATGTCAGAAGATGTGTCGCTTTATGACAGGAGCATTGTATCACAAAATGCACAATATATTATTCCACTGTGTTTCTTTAAGGCCAGGAGATTTAATCGCGGCTCATTGATCCACACACACTTAGAGGGTGTTTTTTTTTTCTGGCAAGTGGTGGATGATTTTAAATCTCTTGTGGGAAGAACTGAAAAGATTCAGCAAAGACTGGAGGCTGATTTTAAATCCTCAAAGTCAATAAAAAAGCAATGACTGGCTTTGCCTCTATCTTCCTATACTTCTTTAAGGATAATTTTGTGTCTGTTACAAAAAGTGAACTCTCAGCTGTGATACAGTCTGGAGTTTTATCTATTCTGTCAATAATGTGCAAAAGGACATGTCTGTGTATGTGTGTGTACGTCTCCATGTGAGCATCTACATCTCTATGTGTGTGTCCACCTCTGTTTTGTGTACATCTGCATAGGTGTGTGTATGTATATCTGCATCTGTGTGTACATCTGCATGTGTTTGTGCAGATGTGCATGTATGTACATCTCCATTTGTGTATATCTGCATGCATGTGGGCACAAATAGGATGAAACGCCCAGGGTTGGGAGAGTCCAAAACTTGAGGGCATAAGTTTAAAGTGAGAGGAGAAAAATTTAAAAGGGACCTAAGGGGCAATTTTTTCACACAGAGGGTAGTGGTGTATGGAATGAACTGCCAGAGAAGGTGGTGGAGGCTGGTAAAATAACAACATTTAAAAGGTATCTGGATGGATGTATGAATAGGAAGAGTTTAGAGAGATATGGGACTAGATTAATTTAGGATATCTGGGGTTCTGTGTACAACTCTATGATGTGTGTGTGTGTGTGCGTGCGTGTGTGTGCACGCGCGCGTAAGAACACCAGCTGAACCGCATCACAATTGACCAGTCAAGAGCAGGGATGATATTCATGTCAAGTAGAGGGAAAGAACTGAGGTCATAAGGAAGATGCTGGGAAATGAGGGATGAGGAGTGGAATGGGAGAACTAAGTGACTGGGAAGTTGGAGGAGAGCAGAGAGTGAGTAGTGAATGGAAAGAAGGGGAAAGAAGATTTCCCATTTCCTTTCCCCTTTCACTTTTCCCCTCTGATTCTTCACCATCCACTTCCTTTCACAATTTCTCCATATTCACCATGCCCCTTTCCCAAACGCACCCTAGTGCTTCTTCTATTTTCCTTCCTACACAACCCTCTGCCTCGTTTTTTAATCTGATGGTCCCAACCAGCCACACTCAAACCTTTATTTTGGCAGTTATCTTCCCCTTCTCACTGTCAGACCCGCTACCAAATGCCAACATGCCCCTGAGCCAGGAATGATGGCCATATTTTTCAAAGCACTGACACTTTGAATCTATTCAGCGACTACAATAGGCAGCCTGTTTTCTACTGTGGCACTAGCCTGGATGCAGACTGGTGCAGGCAGAACAGAGTTGGGCATGGAGCCTCGGCAAATGCAGTGCATTAATTGGTGCTACAACACTGGGTGGGCACCTCTCACACATGTACAGCTACAGTCAGTGACAGCAGAGTTAGTGGTGTCCTGCAGGGCTGGATTGGAGAATTGGTTCCCTAATTATTTCAAGGTAAAATAAAAAATGTAAATGTTGCACCATTGGGAGAAATTCAACTACTATGGAATTACATTCAAAAGTCAAGAAAGGACAATGAAATGCTGTTTAAAACTCGAGAACAAATGAAACTTGGAATTATCAGGAACAATCAGTGCAAACAGGAATCACCGTTGTGTTGTAATGATCAAGCAGCATGGTGTGAGGGTTGGCTCCTGGCTTGCTGGGTCTGAAATGCTAGGTGTACAGCTGTGCTTTCAGATGGAGCCAGTGTCGGGACCATAGACAAGCCTCTGGCATTGGCAATGACTTCTGCCTCTTCTGTTGCGCGAGTCCGGTCACCAAAGAGCCCAGTTGCATATTTAATGAGGTGGAAGGGAGACGATGGTATGAGAAAAGTCACTCCAAGCCATGGAGGACTTGGCAGCAGGATTCTCGCTCTACAAAACACCTTTACTGCAAATGGGAAGATTCCACCCATAAATTCTTCATGTACCTGTTGGTGCTTGGAAAGTGGTGAAAGCAATCAGCACTCTTTCACTTTCAATATCAAACCCAGAACTCAGAGCACTGCAGAGATAACACAGTCGTGTAGTTGTGTTGCTTAGATGGGGAGAGCTAATGTACCATCTAAATACCCTATAATTCAGAAGCAAAAATTTTTTAGAACCTGACAGTTGGCATTCCATTTATTTGGGACCTAAACAATACAGAGCCACCATCTCGGTGGAAGAACCCGAACATGCTGTAGCAACAGCAATGTGCATATAATGGAGAGCTTCACCAACTTGTTGGAATCAGGAGTTACAGTATGATTAAATTAAAAAAGACTTGCATTTATAGACGTCATCTCAGGGTGATCCTGCGGTAGGGTCAATTAGGTCCTGAAGAAGTGTACTCATTACAGTAATATAGGAAACATGGCAGCCAACCTGCACACAGCAAGATCCCTCAAACAGCCATGTGATAATGAACAATTTAAAATTAGTTAGCCTGAAACTAATTCTCAGTTGTTGTTGGAATAACACTAAGAAATGGAAGGAATACAGTCTGTGACTTACCTGAAAGAACAAGAAATGGATATTTAAATACATAGAATAGGAATTGTTGTTAAATGGCATTTGTACTAAGTCTCTGGCATTTATCCCTCCAAGCCAACACCACCGCCCCCCCATCCCCACAAACATCCTACATAATGTTTTGGAGGCAACAGTAACAATTAAGTATGAGAAAGTGTAAGTCAGTTTGAATATCGAGGCATCAATATTTTGTTATTGAAGAACTCATGCTAACAAATTATTGTCGTATAAAGATGATCCAACATGTTCTAGTACAAATAATGTTTATGGTAGCAACAAATTAGATTTGGTTATTTTAGTTAGCCCTTCTTAATGCATCTCAGTCTGAAAACCAAACATAATTTTTAACTGATTTTTAAACTGATTTGCAATTGACCTCATAAATCTTTTTCTCTCAATTTCCCTGAGGTTAATAATCTATCCAATGCTGTAATCCAACTTGCTTTTTAGCTCAAAAATGATTTGTACCTATTTATATACTACTGCAAGGAAACATTCAGCTGATTCATCTTGTAAAGGTTACACAGGTTATTGCAGAATATTTTAGGGAATTTTCACAGTTAAGATATGGTGGTTTTGAGAAACCGAGGGCATTAAATCCCCTAAAAATATCATTGAGTTAAAATCCTGATATCCCACCAAATTTTGGGTTTGACACTGGAGGGTTTGGAAGTGAGAGGTCAGTCCATGAAGATGTTGGGTAAGGAATTTAAATACTGTAAAAAAGGCAGCACATTTATTTCCTGAGCTGTCAGCAACACACCATGATCAATCAGTTGAAAGCACAATAGAGAGAGTTTCTGCAGTGAAAAGGCTAGGGTGGAGCACCTTAACTCAGGGGTGCACACTGCATTTCTTCAGAGTGTCCCTTCACTGCTTGACAAGTGACTGACAACTCCTGAGAAATCAATTTACCTGGTGTCTCGCTTCACTCCTCCTGCATCACTGCAGAAGCTTACAGTTCCACCTCCTGCTGATGAATATGAGGAGAGCCCAAGACCAACAAAGCCAAGGGCAGCACTGTCTGCCTGCCCTTCAGCCACAGGTCAGAGGGGATATCCACAAAGATCCAGCTGCAATGCATCAGTGTGTCTGCTGCCTGATCTCCCGCATGCAACAGCTTGTACCTCCCTAGATAGTGATATAAGCTCTTCAACTTTACTTAGACCTAAGACAAAGAAGAGATCTGTGACATTGTGGACAATGAAGCTGGAGGTAGTGAAAGCCCTCCTGTGGTAAGGATAATCTGGTGGAGAAATGGGCATTTTCCTCTAGGTAGCCATGGGGTAAGTTTCAGGTAATTTAATTTTCCATTCAATATCTCATTCCTCAACTTTGTTGCCAGCTGGTAAGATTTATTCTATTCCAAGCTTATCTGCTTTTTAACTTTAATTTCTGCCTTCCCATGTTTGCATCTTCCTGTAGATAGAAGCAACCTGAGGAAGTTTCCTACATCAGGGCATTGGGGAAGTGCTTAAGCATTGCTACACCCTACTCATGTTACTCAATAAAATGCAGAAGCAGGCAGACCGGACAAGTCGTGAGATATTAGCTCAGGCTCACAAATATCTCATGAGTGTGGACAGGAAGGTACAGATTCATTACCATCTCTAGGGTCACTCCTTCCAATCCACTCATTCATCTCTCATTACAGAAACCCCCAGAACGAGCGGTAAACTGGGTTGGAGTGGACATCCTACAAATACCCAGTAAGACCATGTGGGCAAAGTAAACCACTAATTAATAACATTTGAAACACTGTTAGACTAATAAATACCTTGAGTTCCATCTCTCCTTAGCTCGGAATTAATTTGCAATAGATGATGAGGAGATGAATGGTGAGAATGCATGGCTGATGCAGACGAACATACAAAACTTGGAGCAGAAATGGACCATTCAGCTCCTCAAACCAGTTCTGCCATTCCATAAGATTAGACTGACCTCTCGGTTTCAAATTCCACATTCCCATCTATCCCTGATAGCCTTTGGTTCCCTGGTCTAACAAGAATCTATCTACTTCTGGATTAAGAATATTCATTGACCCCATATCCACCACCTTTTGAAACACAGAATTCCAAATTGGCCCACCTTTCTGCTAGAAGAAAAAATTCTCCTTATCTCTGTCCTAAAAGGGCAACTTTTCATTTTAAAGCAGTGCCCCTTAGTTCTGGACTGATCTACAAGAGGAAACATTCTCTCCACCTCCACCTGTCAAGACCATTCAGGATCT